AGATTGACTTGACTCAATTGAAAATGTCATATAAATTTGATAAAATATTATACATTTATACTTGGTGGGTGTCGGCTTGCTTGGCCTGGACCCAACCCACACTACGTGCAGGCTTGCTGCATGTCCGTGCCAAAAATATGCTGCCCAGGCCTGAAAATTTGCGGGCCAGAGAGGATCATATCTGGTTGAGATCTTTACCTTTTATTCGTGGAATAATTAATCAGCCAACAACCTCCGTATGAAGTTGTTGCACATATTGATTATTGGGTGTATCAAGTTGACTAAAAGATAAAAACAGCAGGGCACAGTTTGCATTTGTACTTCTTCCCAAATGAGTCTAGTTTACAAAGAATATAAATATATTGATGACTTTTTATAGTGATCATTGATTTTTGAAAATAATGATAGGTGGAAGAGTGTAAAGTTTTATATTGATAAAACTGATGTAGTTTTTATATTGATTATCGATTTAAAACTTTAAAGCTGATGAGATTTTATATCAATTATTGACGTAGAACTACACTCTATCAAACACACATAAAACTAAATCGGAGTATAATTTTACGTCAATAATAACTACATCAAACCAATGTAAATTTTACATCGATTCTTGATTTATATTACATCCAAATGCAGCCTAAACAAAAATAGCAAGAGTATGTATGTAAAAGGAGAAGGGAGACAAGAATTACCAAGTAAACTTTATTAAGTTACGATTTATGCCAAATTCTAGTATGTGGAAAAACATATATATCAGCACCCAGTTCCACATTAATTCTTCTGACACTCAGCCTAATTAAAATCACCGCGATCGAAAGTTATTACTACAATAAATCTATTATACAGTAGTCAGGCAACAGTCCCCGTCTTTCAAATACGTGGCATTCTAAAGTGATTTAGTGTAATAAGAAAATCTATTATAATAATAATTATACTCAATAATTAAATACTGATTATTAATAAGGATATAAGAAGATAATCATCACCATTATAAATTAAAAACAATATTAATCTTTAATTAAATAATTAAGTAAATATTACATTTTGATTTATATTTAAATTTTTATTGTAAAAATTTTGACTATAATAATTATTACGATAGTAAAATCATTAATTAAATACTTAATAATAACAAGAATAATTAATTAATTAAATATCATAATACAAATAATTTTTAAAAAATAAAGAAATAATAATAAAAAGTTAGATAGATTTTGCTTAAACAAAATAAAAATTATCAAAAAATACTAGCCCTGTACTATAGTATGGGGTCATTCTCTTGTAAAAGGCATTAAAGACTGCGGTGGCAAGCCTTAAATTGCAACCATAGCAACCATGATCCTTCTAACATACCAGTGGGGTGACACTTCGACTGTTCAAGACAATTTTTGAATCATTGTTGATCCAAACGGTCGGATCAATCAGCCTGGAAGCCATCGTGGGCAACCGGTTCTGTTTCATCTCTGACCACTATGGATGAAGTAATAAGATAAAATGATAGATTTGTTACAAAAATCCCAACAAACTCATAACCCTTGTAACCTTTAGGGTTTGTTCATTTTTTGGATTTTAAGAGGGGAAAGTTGGTCAATGGGATTTTGGTCCCCATTGACCATGGATTCCGGCTTTAGTCAGGGCAAAGCCTGTTTCGGCAACCTTTTATTTCATGGGATATATTCGCAATGTAAGGTTGCGTGGGGCTGTTTGAACGGTGCAAGCACCAACTTGCCCTGATAGAAGCTGAACTCTTGACCAAGAAGCCTATGTTCCTTTTTCAGATTTATGTGGGGACGGGGGAAAAATTTAGTTTCTTGAGTACATACCCATCTCATAGGTGAGTAAATAACTTTCCCACTTTATGGAAAGTTGCCAACACTTGGATGGGAGAAAAAAGTGCCCCTTTTATATAATAATTGATCTTTATGGCTAAAATGGTCACTGTCTTATTTACCTAGGAAATAAAAGAACATAGAAAACACACACTTGAATAAGTGTATTTACCCGGATAAGTGCATTTCAACACTATGGAGAACACTCACACTAATAATATATTTGGTCTGCATGAATTGGAGACAAAATCATGGACACGACAATCGAGAATCATCACCGCAATGCGATCAAGAATCTCGTCTCAGCTCGATCAGTAAAAAAAAAGGTCGTGGTGGCAAGCTTTAAATTCCAACCATAGCAACCATGATCCTACTAACATGCCAATGGGGTGACACTTCACAGTTCAAGGCATATCTTACCCAAATGAAAAAACAAAAAAGTTCGAGGCATAGTTTTTGAATCACGATCGGTTCAGAAACCATTAGGCAACCGGTTCTGTTTCATCCCTGACCACTGTAGGTGAAGTAATAAGATAAAATGATAGAAGGTGTCTATTAGTTTGATTGAGAAGATCGACGTGATGGAGTGCACATCCTTCTTGATGTTAATCCGTATCGGGCTGATAAGTGAGACCGGTATGTGTGTCGTGCTGATCTTTTCGGGCTTTCATTTATTTTCGAGTTCTTTACTTGGTAACTAACTTGGTGTTTGTCTTGTGCRGGTGTCGAAATGGTTTGAAGCGAGTGAAGRAAGGTGGGAATCCATCATATGGATGGCCGAACCATGCTAAATGGCTGGGCAAAATTTCAAAAATTTTCTTTCAACCTTTTGAATATCATATTCCTAGTTTTAGAAAAACTACATT